CCCCCCCCCCCCCCCCCGTGGGGGAAGGGCTGATTTTACATGGTCGCTGAGAATATCCAAAATGGCGGCTCCACGATCCATACCAGCTGCCATTTTGTAACATATAGGGGAGTGCTAGTGTAAACATGCAATGAACGGCGTTAGTGACTGTTAGTGTTAGTGTTAGTTACTAGTGACTTTTTTAGTATACACCTATTAGAGGGATACAAGAAACCACAAGGGATATAATTTTATGCCACCTTACTCATTCTACTCTTACTGATGTTTTGTTTATGTTTTTTAACAATTTTGACCACTGGTAGCCCATAGGGTAGGCCACAGGGTAGGCCATGGCCTACCTCATGTTTTGTCCCCACCCTGCTTAAATACAAGTTTGACTGCATTTTGGATTGAGAGATCATATCAAATTGGCACCCCTACCATCACATTGTGTAACTATTTCCTCTCCTGTGCCATCATAATGAGCCAAAGGGTTGCCAGCATTTCGATACTGAAAAGAACAAACAAAATTCAAATACGTTAATTTGTTAACAATACAAACAACCTGGTTGTCCAAACAAGTTAAATTAACTCTTTTCCTGTTAAAACATTATAAAGCATTAGCAACCAAACAGAGCAGGTTTCAACAATCAATTCAGCTACCTATTGTAAAAAATCTTCTATTAAGCCACTCAGGGGCCTAGCTAGGGGGAAGGGGTTTGATAGAGGTTTAACAGGGGGCTTAAAGTATTTCATTTCATACAAAATGGATAAAATGCAAAATCAGCATCAGTTAATTAAAATTTACTCTTTTTTGCATACTTCTGGTACATGCATTTTGATCACGCCATGCAGTGTCATTTTTTTCTTTGAGCTCAAGTACCATTTCCCCTCAAACCCTGCAAGAATTATAATACATTGAAATTTCTTGTTCTGCATGTATTTGTGAGTTTGGGTGATTTAGGGCAACATATGGAGGGAGATTGGCTTAAAAGCTTTTTCAAAAAATCATGGGTCTTGCAAAATTTTCGCCAAATTTCATGGGTCTTGCGGCCCTTTTTTAAGTGGCTTATTAATGTGTGTCACAGTCCTAATATTTTTAGAAAACTGTCTCAGAGTCTCAATTTTTTGCAACATGAGGAAAATCTCGAAGTTTTAGTGTTTTGTTTATTTGGTTAATACATAAATCAAAATGACGTCTGAATGTCTTTATTGTGCTCGCATTTAAAATACCAAAATATCAGTCTTGCAATTTGAAAAGTTAAAATGTCTGGGACTCACAAAGAAAAGACTAGTCTTGCCTTCTCACAAAGTCTCACATTTACCATTCCCCCCCTACTTGTTTTACAATTATCCTTTTAATGATACCTGCAAATTAAGAACAGCAAGTGTTATAATTTCCATTTTGTTTTAATATATAGATTTAGCCAAGCCTAAAAGCGGAACTCCTGATTGCAATAACTGATGATAAAGGAAAAAGAGAATTATTTTTTCTTGGAACAGAAACTAAAAAAATGATCAATTGTGAGTATGCAAATGTTCAGCGTGTGGTTTTGTTATTTTTTCCTGTTTAAATTTTAACAATCTATACCCAACAAGCCAAACCAAGATTGTAGAAATAACGTATGCAATATATCAGGGACTTTCCAAGAGACGATTGTACAAGGAATATGTCAGAAAAGTTACCAACGCACCAGGGGTTAATTTGTGCCAAAATTTTGCCTTTGCCAGTACTCCTTCCTTCTCCCAGAGAAATAACGTGACTTGAGCCTGCAATCCAATCACTAAACCAGAAACTGGTCAGCCGTCAACTCAAAAAAAACATGCAACCTCGATGAGCTCTAAACCTGAGCCTGCGATATAGTCATGCAATACTGGTCAGCGGATAGCTTGTTGTGACAGCTGTCAATTAACAATAGTGTGGATGCCCAAAATCAAAGATGTAGCTATGGTAATGGTGCTACTCTCTTAGTTTTCAAGGTATTGGTGTACGGATGGATGGATGGATGTACCTACGGACAGTCACGTGACAACTGAAATTTTTCACATTGATGGGTTACCAAATTTTCAAAGGTATAGGCTCACGCGCCTTTGGCGCGCAGGAGCTCCGCTATAATTACGTGGTATGCATACTATCATGAAATGCAGAACTTCGTGTACAGCACACAGCCTTACCTGATCCAAGATGAGAGAATTTGGGATCTCACAATTCAGTCGCTGGGCAACACCAATGTGGGATTCTAATGAAAAAAAACCACCAGTACCGCTGTTAGTTTAAGTGCTGGGTACAATGTGTCATGTAGACTTATTAGTACTTATTATTCAGTAGTTATCAACCTGATATAATATGTCACTAGACATTCTACGACTTGGGGTGGAAGTTGAGTATCAAAGGAAAATTTTTAAAAGTAATACCAAATAAATAAACTAAACTTTAAGCATAGATTAAGTACACAGGTTACAATGGCTCAGTCATATGCCGAGGATGCCCAATGAACGGATACCAAAAGTAATGTAAGTGAGATGGACCCTAACTGGGAGGAGAACTTAGAGAGTCAGGCCAAAAGCACCTGTCTGAGGAGGGTGTTGAAGAAGCTGGAAGATATGCCAGTCTCTCATTGGGTAAAGCAGTCAGGCCAAGGCTGTGTAGGATAAGTAAGTAACATTGAGCTTTGAGCAATAAGTTATAGACATTTTGTTTAAGGGAGTTATGTTACAGTAAGTTGAACCTTCTTGCTGTGCTTTAATTATCGAACAATGGTATCGCTTGACACTTGACCACAGGTGCCTTTAATAAACATGATTCAACTAGATATTTTACAATAACTGTCTAATTCCTCGTGTGCTGATTGGCTCATTTTTATCATCAATAAGAGTACAAACAGATAAAATTTTAATTTATGCAAGCTTTCAAGTTCAACTCTCAGCTGTCAAACTGTCAACTTTTTAACCAATGAGATTTTATGGACTTTTTTAAGTAGCCAATCAAAAAGTGAGAAAAGCCATTGACAATGTTTGCGTCATTTTGAATAAAATTCACTTATCTTTGTTTACAGCAAGTTTANATCATTAATAAGAGGACAGACGCATAAAAAACTGAAGTAAATTTGTTAATTTGCATAAATAAGAGTTGAAAGTAGTTTCCCTACCAGGGGAGTCAAACTTGGCCTCTGTAGGCGTACGGACAATCTCTGCTCCTAGAGCTCGAAGAACATCCACCTAAAAGGGGAAACAAGCTGTCTTCAGAAAAATAATACTTTAAACAAAGTACAGGCATTTTACATGTGTGTGTTTCTTGAAAACTGTCCATAAAATGATCTGGCAAATGGAAATAACATAAGATCAAAATAGCACTGATAAGTATTCAAAGAAATAATTACCTTTTCTTTACTCATCTTTTCCGGCATGACAATAATACAGCGGTAACCCTTCACAGCTGCTGCTAATGCCAGACCAATTCCTTTGAACAAAAATAATATCAATTAACACTTCCCTAAATACAGAGGCCTTCCAAGGGATAAAAGCGACAAACGACATGACCCCTGAAAACCAGCGACATGGGAATAAGCGACAAGCAAATCAAATGCGCCGATAAAATTCGACAGCAACACAAAAAGCACTAGAAAAGAGGTCAAAATTATTGTTGCTGCCCTTTAATTGGTTGCTTTGCCTATTTAGAAATTGTGTTCTCTTCTTAAGTTTGTAAATGTCAGAAACTTGAATGTGTGGTTTTCCATTGACAGAATAAACTCTATAGAATCAATCTTGTAGTGACAGTGACATATGACTGCATGCAGAAAAACAACAGCGACATTTGCTTGCGCTGGTTAGGCAACATCACTACATGATGGGATGTGACA